GATCCTAGGAGGGGAAAACACTTCGGAGAAGGAGACCTTGGCTCTCTGGCGGGTGGGGTAGCTTTCGTCGAGCCCCAGCTGCGGACTCGCCCCCGCCCCCCCGAACCCAAACATAGCCGCGCACTCGCCGAGAGCTTTCCGGATCGAGGCCCCGCAAGCCACCTCATGATCGTCATTGGTGGCGTCCCCGTCCAGCCACTCGGGCCCCAGATCGTCCCAGGTCTGCCTCGATCGTTTCCGTCCCTGGGATGAGTTGAGGGGAGAGGAGGTAGGAGGAGGGGCTCCTCGTGTCTGAGATGCCCCTCGAGGACCAGAAGTGCTGTGAGGATCGTGCGTCTCGCAGTTGCACTGAGCAAAACAGGCAGAGATGCTAAAACTCGGGCCCTTCTCGCGAGAGGCCTGACACCTCCCACTGGCCTCTGGGCGCTCTAGAGCTGGTCCGGAAGGACTTCCCACTCCAGGCGGTCCAGCACCGGAGCCTCCTCCGGGATGGGCCCCAGCTCGCTGAGCATTGAACTGAAGGGCTGACCCGTCGTCGTCGTCGACGCGGCGGGAGCTCCTCCCTGCTCCTGAGGAGGACTCCAGCCCGGCGGCGGGTGGTCCGGCGGTGGAGGCTGACCTCCCGCATGGGCCTGCCACGGATCTCCGGAGCTGTGCTGCCCCGCGGTCGGCGCCGTGCTGACCGCCTCCATCTGCTGAGCGATCGCCTGCTGAGCGGCCACTTGATGATTGTAGAGACCCGTCACCGCGTTGCCAATCTGCACGAGCATCATCGCCACTTGCTGCACGGTCGTCTCCACGGAGTTCAGCTGCATCTGCATGCCCACCATCGTCTGCTGCATGGTGTCCACCACCTCTCCGAACTCCTCGAAGGCCCCCAGCGACCCCTTGATCGCCAGCAGCTGCTGAAAGATCTGCTGGAGGCCCTCCTCCACCTGAGTAGGAGTGCTCTGAGCCGCCATAGCGATCGTCGCCATCTGGTCCAGCGCCTCCTGCACGCGGGAAAGCGCCCTCACGCCCTCGGGCACCTGGGACAGTTGCCACTGTAGTCCCTGCAGCAGGGTACTCAGTGAGTTGACCGTGGTCAGCGCCGCCCCGCCAGCGCGAAAGGCGGGGTCGTTCTGGAGCATGTCCACTGCCTGCTGCGCTGAGGCGGCGGCAGCCCGCGCGGCCTCTGCGGCCGACTGCTGAGGAGGGCCTGCTGGGCCCTGAGCGCCTCGCGGCGCCCACACCAGTCGCTGCCCACACTGCAAGCATCTTGATCCCGATCCGTGCTGGTTCCCATAGTACTTGATCCGGTCGGCGGGATGCTGACAGGCGGGCGGCAGCTTGGGTGGCGGCGGCTTGGGTGGCGGCTTGAGCGGCACCTGCTCGGCTGCGGGCGGACCTCCGGAGCCCGAGGATGAGCTCGCCGCTGCCGCAGGAGTCGTCCCCGCGCCTGACGATGAGGGTCCCGATCCTGCCGTCATGAACCCAGGCGGGGGTTTGACTGCTGCTGGAGGCCCAGGCTGAGGATTCCCGTGAGGTGCTGACGTCCCCAGTCGCTGTGGCGGCGGCCAGTCTCTCGGCCAGCCTGCGTCCCCGTGCGGCTGCCGAGGCTGAGTAGGCGGGAGTCCTGCCGGGGCTGGGGTCCCGCCCGCCGCTGGCTGCGTCGCGGGCGGGTGGGCCTCCTCGACGGTCCACAGCGGCCGATCGGTTGACCGTGATGCTCCCGATGCCGATTCCTGTGGCGCCTGAACCTCGACTGCTCCTGCCGAGGCCGTCGAACCGTTGCCCGGTCCGCTGGAAGGTCCCGGCTCCAACTGCGGCGCCGTGAACTCGGCCGTCGGATTGACAAACGTGCCCGGCATCTCCGTATCGACCGAGGACTCGAGAGAGACCTCTGACTCTGACTCGTTTCGACGTCGAGCGAGAAACTCCTCTGTCGCTTTCTTCGCCCTGGGCTCGGTCTTGCCTCCCATGACCTGCTGGGAGAGCGCCCACGCCAGCCAGAGAGCCAGCAACATCGCTCGACCTTTCTGGGTGTCGCCTCTGGTTGGAGAAACGTGTATGCTTGAAAGCTTCTGCAATTGAGCCCAAACTGGCTACGGAAGAAATCAACAGGGCAGACCACGCAACGAGGACCCAACTCGCCCTCCTGGGTCCTGCTCGTGCTCGAGGCCGTCGGCCCTTCACCTTAGCTCGACTTGATCCCGAGGCCCCGGCCCAATGATCTGACGCTAGCTGAGCTCGTGGCCACCTGAGGCCGCCCAAGACCTTCCCCTGGAGCTCGTCTAAGTACTCCCGAAGGTCCCCGAGCTTCCCCATACACGGTCCCCACATGGTTGTGCCGAGGCTGATGATGACGATCATGAGAGAGAGGGAGATCAAGTACTGCGACACAACCCCGTCGTCTGACATCACGGGGGGCGCTCTGCCCCCGATCTCAAAGGAGTCCTTCTTCAAAAACGGATAGCGCTTGAGCGCCGAGTCAGGCACGCAGGCGGGCGCGGCCAGCCTGCAAACTATCTGCGCCAGGCGATGACCAGAAGGTAGACGATTCAAAGGGATCACCTCGTCCAGAGTCTGGGAGGTCATCTCGTTGCCTGGCAAATCGATCAGGCACTTGAGGAAATCAAGCAAATTCACTGAAAGGATGTGAGGCACATTATCTGCCAACACGGTAGTCTCGATAATTCCGAACACGCCTCCCAGGCACAGGGGAAAGAGGATCACGCTGATGACCCTACCCATGCCACCGATCCCGTGAGCGGCCTTGATCGGGCGGTGGGACCGAGGGATCTCGACGTATGTCAGTCCGTGAGTGGCGAGCGCCTGGGCCTCCCGGTTGAGCGCCTGCACTCCTACCAGGTCGCTCCCGGCCCCGGGATCGACCAGCGCCTGATCCGCCTCGGCCACGATGTAGACCGCCCCGGAGGAGATCTGGTCAGCCTCGTCCCTCCACAGGGGGAAACTCTCGCCGGAGAAGCCCTCGAACATGTAAGCCGACATCTTCTGCCTCTCTCCTCCAGCCCGGGCTCGCTGATCTCCACCGGCCTGACCGCCTCCGACGTGGTCCCCGAACTTCGGGCACTCTCGTCCCCAGTGTCCTTTCTGCTGGCACCGCTTGCACCTCGTCACCTTCATCTGCTGCTCGATCGTCAGCCTGCCACGGATGCCTCGACCTTCCCGGCTTCTACCGGGAGCTCCTCGATCACGTCGACCACTGGAGCCTCTCGTCCGAGATGCCCCGGCTGGAGAAGGGGGAGGGCGGCGAGGTGGATGACGTTCCCCTGCCTTCGGCTTCGCGCCGAAGTACTCGCGGTCCTTCCGGGCCGCCCTCTTCAGCTCCTTGTTCTGCTTCCACGTCCGTCCCACTGGACGCCGACCCTCCATCATGACCCAGAACTCCTCCAGCTGGTCCTCGCACAAGTTGAGGTCCTCCAGCTCCGCGAGCAGCGCCTCAGCATCCCAAGCTGACTCCTCTCCCGAGTCGCCCTCGACCTCCTCGTCGTAGTCGTAGTAGTTGGCGTCGTCCTCCTCACCATCGACACCTACCTCTGACCGACCGGAGGGAGGGGGAGGAGAGGTCTGAAAAGCACCGCTGGCAGCATCACTGGCACCCGGGCCGAAGCCCTCACTCTCGGCCAGCAGCGCCGCGCCGCTGCGACCGGGGAGGAGCCGCTCGGCTCCTCCGGCGTCCATCTGCTTCAGCGCCCAAGCCACGTACTCGAAGTCGGTCCTGCCCTGGGTCAGGGTGCGCAGGTTCTGGACTCCCTGTGCTGATAGACCAGCTCCTTCCTCCAGCAGTAACCCCTTCAGCTTGGAGCTCATCCAGAGATCCATGCCTTCGGCCTCTTGAAGCTGAGCCTCTCGTCGGTGAACGAACTGCGTCAGGCCCTCCTTGGTCTCCCTGGACGCTTCGAAGAAGGCCTTCCTGCCGGCGCGCCGGAGGTCGTCGCCCTCCCGCTCGCCAGCCATGAGGTCCATGCGCTGAAGGATCACGTCAATCCACTCTGTCGAGCACAGCTTGTCCTCACTGATGTCCTCGAACTTGGCCTGGAAACTGTACTCGAAGAGCTTGAGAAACTTCTCGGCACGCCTCCAGAGCTTCACGTCCGTATTCGTGTTCCAGCGCCTAAGCGCTCGTTTCCATTGTCGATAGTGGGCCCACCCGGGCCAGGTGGGTGGGTCGCTGAAATCGCCTCGACCCCCCCAGCCACCACCGTCTCCGGCGTCCCACGCCGATCTCCGGCGGTCCGCCCAGCTGCCGTTCCAGTCGCCCGAGCTCCAGGCCTCTGCGAGCCCGGGCTTGCCCTGGCCGCCGTCGCAGCTGTTCCAGCCTCCGCCTGTGTCACGCCACCGGCCTTCCCCTCTGACGTCTTTGTCTCCGTCCTGGTGATCTCGCTGGAGGCCCTCACCTCCAGCCTCACGCTCCCCACTGGGAGCTCCTCGATCACGACCCTCACGCCAAGGGTCCTTGCCGGTGTCGTGCCACTCGTCATGTGACTTCTCCTCGTGGGCGACTCCTCGATGACCACCTCCGTCTGGAGCTCCTGATCTGATAGTCTCTGACACTACACTCTTGATCAAGTCCCTGAGCTCCTCGCGGCGGATGGTCACCGTGGCGTTCTGGCTGCCCGAGCTGCTGCCTGGAGTCTCCTGGCTGCCCGCGCCCACGTGGAAGTCCGTCGCCTCCGTCCCTGCCTCGCCGTCTGCGGGCATGATCACCTTGGCCGTGGATCCCACGCTGCTTCGTCAGTGCGAGCGCGGCCGCGGACGAGGGCGCGCGAGCGGGTGGCCGCCTACCTCGTGGCAGGGTCGCCTCCGCCCATGGCACCTCGCCCAGGCCACGCTCCGCTACCAACTGTGGCAGACGGAGATAGACTAGGTGTTTTACCCTTGAGCCAAATTGGTCACGGACAGAAACTCCTGACGCTGAACCTATCAGTTAAAATCTGCCTCACTGCAACAGTCGCCCCCGTCGCCGCCTCTGGCGTCGCAGATGCCGCCGCCGCCGCCACTGCCGCCCCCTCCCAGAGCGCTCCTCCGGAGGTGAAGACCGGCGCCGCCTGCTTCACGGCGGTCCTCCGGGCGGCGGGGGTTGCATCGGGAAGCGCCTCGAATCCGTCGTGGTGCATCGGCCACGAAGGGACATTGGCCCGTCAGTAAGCAGTTCATGCTTAGCCCGAATGCCGCACTCGAGTAAAGCACTAACCTGAAAAAGTGCGGCAGCCACGCAAGAGAAAGGAAAGGCGAGCAGCACTGCAAAAGTAGAGGGCCAACCAGTGGCGATAGTAACGTCTGAGCCGTCGGATTTGCCCAGCGAAGGATGTGACATGAAAAACGATGTCTCTCGCCGTCCTCTTCCTCCTTTTCCTCCTCCTCATCCTCCTCCTCGCCTCCTCCTCCTCATCATCATCCCCATCCTCCTCCTCCTCCTCCATCCTCACCCTCCTCTCACATAATCCTCCTCCTCATCATCAACCCATTCTCCCTATGAATAACTCCTCCCTGTCCCACCCCGAGGCGTGTCGGGGAGTGCTGGCTGTTTCTCCGAGACTTCTTGACCATGGCAATAAAAAGTTGCAACAGTTTCACGGATGGAGGGCGGGCCGTCATCAAAATGTGGCTCTCGCCTTAGCGCCGCGCGCGCTTCTCTTGAAAGTTCGCAAGAGCTTCACGGATGAAGGCGGATCGTTCTCAAAATGTGGTTGTCGCCTGGGTGCCGCGAACACTCGTCTTCATATGTGCAAGAGCTTCACAGAGTCGGGCCGTTATCAAAATGTGTTTTCCGCCTCAGCGCCGCCCACATTGGTCTCAAAAGTTCGCAAGAGCTTCACGGATGGAAGACGGTATTTTTTCAAAACGTGGCTCTCGCCTCAGCGCCGCGCACACTCGTCTTAAGAGTTTACAGCAGCTTCAAGGATCTTTATGGCTGAAGTCCCAGAGATGATATTCTTGGCGCCATGCAGGCCTGCCAGGGCGCAGCATGAGCATTGATTCGCGGCGTTCAAGCACCAGGAACGGTTCTCTGGCACGGTTCGGGAATGTCAAACGACTGTCTTCCAACTGGGCACATCCAACAGTGGAAATGAATCCTTGTAGGGAAGTGTGAAGAGGGAACTCGGAGGGCGGGTTTATTGCCCCATCGCTGATGGGTCTTAGGTTTACGCTGGTCATACTCCTCCCACTCCTCTTCCTCCTCCTCCTCCGCCTCCTCCTTCTCCTCCTCCTCCTCCTCCTCCTCCTCCTCCTCCTCCTCCTCCTCCTCCTCCTCCTCCGCCTTCTCTTCATCCTCCTCCTCCTCCTCTTCCTCCTCCTCCTGGCCAGAGAGGCGCGGCGCGGGTCCTGAAGCCGCTCATGCCCTCGCACATCGTGCCCTCGTATGCCGTGTCCCCCGTCTTCTCGATCTGCGGGCGGCGCGCGAGCGCCGCCGCCGCGGCGGCGGCGGCTGTCTTCTCGATCTCCGCGAAACGTCTCGGCATGCCGCCCGCCGCCAGGGCTCGCGACGAAGCCGCGGCGGCGGCGGCACGTTGCCCCTCCACTTCGCCTGTCGGCAGCCTCCCGCCGCTGCCGGCCCCACCTCGCCCTCGAGCCGATGGCCTGGCCCTTTTCCTCCCTCCTCTCCTCCTCCTCTCCTCCTCCTCCTCCTCCTCCTCCTCCGCCTCCTCCTTCTCCTCCTCTTCTCCTCCTCCTCCTCCTCCTCCTCCTCCTCCTCCTCCTCCTCCTCCTCCTCCTCCTCCTCCCCTCCTCCTCCTCCTCGTCCTCCTGCTCCTCCTCCTCTCTTCCCCCGCCTCCTCCTCCTCCGCCTCCTCCTCCTCCTCGTCCTCCTCCTCCTCCCTCCTCCTCCCTCCTCCTCCTCCTCCTCCTCCTCCTCCTCCTCCTCGCCCTTGTCCTCCTCCTCATCATCATCCCTCTTCCCTCCTCCCTCCTCCCTCGAAGCAGATAGCGCACGATAGCGAACGGTATCTTCCAACATGCCTTCAAGAGGAGCCATGACCGTCCCAAGACGGCTCCAAGTGGACACGGAGTCTCCCAAGGACCCCCCCGAGAGGCCAAAATCCTCCCAAAACCGTCGTGTTGTATATTCTCGCCTTTTCGCTTCCGATGGGCTCTTGAGGCCTCAAGATGGCTCCTCTAGCCCAAGTGAGCCCCGAGATGGGGCCCAAAAGAGCCCCAAGACGGCCCCAGAGCGCCCACGAGGGCCCTCAGAGCGCCCCAAGAGGCCGGTTTTCGGCTTCCGAGGGTGAGGGGGGGGGGGGGGGGCGTAATTGAGCACCCCCCTTCTTTGATCAATGGCCCCCCAGGTGGCCCCAAGAGGTCCCCAAGAGGGCCTCAAAAGAGCCCACAGAGGGCCTCCAGAAGGCCCAAGAGAGCCCAAAGGGCTTCCAAAAGCGCCCCCAAGAGGGCCCCGCGAGAGCCCAAAAGAGGGCATCCAGAAGACCCCGAGAAAACCCAAAGGGCGCCCCAAGAGGGTCTCCAGAGGGCCCCGAGAGAGCCCAGAGGGCCTCCAAGAGGGCCCCCAAGAGAGCCTCCAAAAGGGCCCCGAGAGAGCCCAAGAGGCCTCCAAAAGGGCCCCAAGAGAGGGCCCCAAGAGGGGCCGCACCGTGGCCCCAAGAGAGGCCTCCGAGGGCCTCGCCACATCGCAGCTGCGTGCTGCTGCACGTCCCTCCGATCGGGGCAGCTCGCTTGGTGACTGCTCTTGCACGGGCTGGCGAGGACACGCGAGGCCTCGGGAACATAGAGAGAGCGAGAGAGAAGGAGAGGGAGAGATGGAAACGGAGAGGGGAGGGAGGAGAAAAGGGCGAAGCGCATGGAGCCATTGGGGGGGCGAAGGCCCCGACTTCTGGATCCGACGCCGTTCCTTCCAGTGCCCTCAGGCGCGCCGCCTCCCCCGGCGTCTGACGTCGCGGGAAAAGTCACGACGATGGCAAAACAAAGGGCAAGCAACACGACCAGCGGGCTCACGACACCATCCTCGTGCCCGACCTCTCGAGCAAAGTCGATCCAGTGCGGGTCCTGGGGCCCCAGGCGGGATGAAACTGCCCGCCACGCTTTCTGGAACGACGCCGGGCCAGAACCACAGCTCAAGGCCAGCCTGGCCAGAAACCAGCTCAAGGCCAGCCCCTGGCCCCTGGCCCCCCAAGGCCTGGCCCCGTTTCCCAGCGGCGCGCAGCCGTGGCGACGAGAGGGCCCCCGAAGGCCCAGACACGCCCGAGAACATCCAGGAGAGGCCAAGTTCAGCTGGAGGCCCACCTGGTGGAGCGCCGTGGCTCCAGCTTGAGCTGCTCCGACTGGACTGTAAGCACCGCCCGAGGCGCCGAGGGGGCCCCGAAGACTAAGGAAACTGCCGAAAATCACCCAGAGCCTCCGAGAGCGTCGCGGCGTCGGGGTCTCCGCTGCACCCTCGCTGCCGTCTCGGAGGCGGCGGCGGCCGGCGACGGCCACGACGACCACGACAACACCGACGACAACGACGACGACGACGACGACGACGACGACGATGACGACGGCGAAGGCGACGACGACGGCGACGGCGACGGCGACGGCGGCGGCGGCGGCGACGGCGACGGCGACGGCGACGGCGACGACCACCACAACGACGACGACGACGACGACGACGACGACGACGACGACGACGACGACAGGGACGACCGCGACGACCACGACCATAACCACGACCGCGACGGCCACGACCACGACCACGACCAAGGCCACAACAACAACCAGCACCACGACGGCCGCAACGACGACGACGACGACCACCACCACCACCACAACCACCACCACGACGACGACTACGAAGACCACGACGACCACGACGACCACGACGACGCCCGCGAAGACGACGGCGTCGGCTGGGGTGGCGCCCGCGGCCGAGGCGAGGCCGCGCAAGCGCCTGCACCGGGAAGCCGAGGTCGCTGCGCAGCGTCACGTGGGTGATGGTACAGTCGTTCGCAGAGCCGCTGGGCTCTTCCACGACGCAGCCGCCTGCGCGAGCGGCGGCGACGGCGACAAGGACGACGACGGCGACGGCAACGGCGACAAGGACAACGACGCAACGACCACCACTACCACCACCACCACGCCACGGCTGCGGCGGCAGCGGGAAGGAAGTCGTCCGCGACACCGCGGGCGCCTGGTTCGAAAGTTCAGGAGGCGGTCCAGGCAGGCGAGAGCGAGACAATGGCGAGCGGATTGACGGCGATGGCGCGCGCAGGTGGAGCAGACAGGAGGGGACCTCTCAGAGCCCCTCTTCGACTGCCGAGGGAACGAAGGACGATGACGAGAAGAGGCCGAGGTGGAGCGGGCGCACAGCACTAGCAGCGCGCGCAGTCTTCGCGGAGCCCTCGCAAAAGCCCAGCGGGGGCGGCGGGGCGCGGCTCATCGCCGCTCTTGGCTGGCCGTGGGGGGCCTGGAGCCCAGCGCCTCGGAGGCCAGCAGGGGCGCCACCTCCAGGGGCGGGTGCTGCCCAGCCTTCAGCACGGACTGGCGCAGGAAGGCCTCGTCCATGCGCAGCCGCTCGTGCTCCACCTGGATGCTCACGAGCTCCGCGCGGAGGCTCTTGTTGTGCTCGCGCAGCTCCCTGTTCAGCGCCATGATGCCAGCGTAGTCCTCCGCCGGCAGGTACCCCTGGGAGACCATGTCCTCCCGGCTGCCCGGCGCGGTCGCCCCAAAGCCGCCGGCACCCTCCGCCGCGCCGCTGCCCGGGCGGCGCTCCGCGGCGCCAGCGCTGGCGGCGGCACTGGCTGGCGACGCCCGCCCCGCCGAGCTCCGCGGACTCGCCGGCACCGGGCTCCCCCTCGACGGCGACGCCGGGGTGGAGCCGCGGGAGACGGGCGAGGGCGCGGCGGCGTGCCCAGACAGCCTCCGCTGCAGCGGCGAGGAGCCCCGCGACGAGGGCAGCGGCGTGCGCGGCCCCGCGCGCGCCTCCGGCGGCTCTGGCGCCGGCGCGTCCTGCTCGGCGGGCAGGCGCGGCGGCCTCTGCCTGCCCGGACCAGGCGGGGCGGGGCCGGGCCCGAAGGCAGGTTGCAGGAAGTCGGGCATCGGCGCCTCGTGGCGCGCGGGGCGCCCGCCAGCGGCCATGGGCGGCAGGAGGGGGTGGAGAGGGGGGCGGCGCGGCAGCGAGGGGCGGCGGAGAGGGCCCTGGGGCGAGGGGCGGCGGAGAGAGCCGTGGGGCGAGGGGCGGCGGAGAGGGCCGTGGGGCGAGGGGCGGCGGAGAGGGCCGTGGAGGGAGGGGCGAGCGGAGGCGCGCCGGGTAGAGGGGCGGGCGAGCAAACGCGGACGGCCACTGGGGGCCACTGCGTGCGCCAGAGCCCTTGGGCCAGAGTGGCTCGTTACAGGGAGGTAAGTGGGAGAGGGGGGTGCTGTGAGGGTCGTCGGGACGACCCTCAAGAGCGGCGAAACGGGGGCCTCCACCTCCCACCTCCCTCCTCATGCATTCCTTTCCTTACGAATAACTACTCCCTGTCGCAGCCCGAAGCCAGTCGCAAGGGCGGGCTGTGCGCTTCGCCTGAAAAGTCCTTGCCACTGGCAACAGTTTCACACATGGAGGGCGGGTGGTTTTCAAAATGTGGTTCCCGCCTTAGCACCACGCACACTCGTCTTCGAAAATTGCAAATCTCACGGATTGAAGGCGAGTTGTTTTCGAAATGTGGCTCTCGCCTTTTTGCTTTGAACAATTTACACGGTTTGACGGCGGGTCGCTTTCAAAATGAGACTCTCGCCTCAGCACTGCGCACAATCGCTTCAGCAACTTGCACAAAAAAAACAAACCAAAAAAAACTAGGATTCACATCGCGAACGTACCAGAGACGGGCTTTGGAACGACTCAGCATTGCTAGGTCGTAGCAATTACGTTAATTCGTGATGCTGACGTCCCAGGAACGGTGTTCTGGCACGGTTCAGGATCGTCAGGGCGGAACAGTCAGGTTGACTCGTGGCGTTCAAATTGTGAGAAAAAATGCATTGGCACGCGTCAGGATTTTCACACGGTTGCCTCCAAACGGGGCATTTCCCTCAGCGGAAATGGATCCATGTAGGGGCCTATGAAGAGGGAGCTTGGAGGGAGGGTGAATTCCAACATCGTTGATGAGTCCTGTGTTTGCACTGGTCCTCGTCCTGCTCCTCCTTTTCCTCCTCCGCTTCTCCTCACCGCCTCCCATCCCTCTTCCATGTAAATCCGCCACCGCGCCTGCACGCACTGGGCGCGTTAGAACCCTGGCTGGCACGGGAACGGAAAGAGCGCGTCAAGAACTAGCCCGAGAGGGTTCACAGCACCGCTCGCTCTTGGGAGCTGTGGCGTCGAGAGCTTATTTCATGTCATCGCTCGCTCTTGGGAGCCTTGGTGTGAAGAGATTATTCACGTCATCGCTCGCTCTTGCGAGCCTTGGCGCTAGGAGTTGCTTACGTCACCGCTCGCTCTTGGGAGCCTTGGGGCTAAGACTTTTGTACGTCACCGCTCACTCTCGGGAGACTTTCGAATGAAGAGTCGTTGACGTCACCGATCGCTCTTGGGAGCCCTGGTGCGAAGAGTTGCTTGCAAACCCAGCCTGTTCTCAAGATAGCTTCACCCCTGATTATACTGCTGCCCCGCCTTGTCGAAGACGTTGCCGAAGATGGACTCAAGGGCCTGGTAGCTCAACATCAGACTTGCCAAAACAAACCAAGGAATTCACCCCACGGACACCTGCGCGCCAACTCATGAGCTCGATCTTAGCAGCCCCATACGATTGCGCAGATGCACAAGTTCAAAATCCCGCAGATGAGGCTGCCCTTCTCCCCTGGGGAACCCGGCGCAAAAAACTTGAAGGCGTAGAACAACAGGGCGGGAGACTGGTCGACACCGCCCCGTTATGCCCGGAGGCTCGGAGGTCCACCCACCCCGCTGAATATTCGGAAGGCACGGTAGCATGCCAAGACGCATACAGGACTCCACCTGTGTAACATGTGGCGGCACTCGTTCCCGTGGGAAGACCTGCACTCGGCGGCCCAATGGCTCTAAAATCAACATCTTGTAGGCGGCGTCAACCGACGTGCGGATCCTGCTCCACTATGAAGTAATGCATTGGCCAGCTGGCTCTAATGCCTGAGTCACTCACAAGAGCCCCTGCTGAAACCTACGCGCCCGCGCGCCTGGGTCACCGGGATCGAGCCCAGGAAGCCGAGGAACGAGCGTCTGCAGGGACGTCAGGATCATGTTCAGCCATGCTGGGCCCCGCCACCGATGCTCATGGCGCCTGCAACCCATGCCACGCTGCGGAACTGGGCACGCCGATCTCCTGGCGCGGCTGCGCGGGCGCTGCCGACGCGGGGGTCGCCCTGCCACTCCGCGGAGAGGATGAACACGCGGCTGCCGGCGCCGCGCTCATACCCTCGAAGCATGGCGGCCCACGCGGAAGCTGACCCACGTGACTCCGCGGTGGCGCCCCCATGACTCCGCATATGTCGCCGCGGCTCGTCATCGGGTCGCCCTGGGGACCGTCCGCGAGCGCGCGTCTGCCGGGGCAACTGAACAGCCGAAGGCTGGCAGCTCCGTCATCTGGACAGTCGTGACAACTGGCAACATCGATCCCGAAGCGGGGAGTGGGACGAGGCATGCTTCGCCTCCTGGCTGGCCCCCACCGATCGGGCGGTGCGTGGCCAGAATGGGACCCAAAGGTCGCCCTCCCGCGAGGTCTCGATGACTGCGTTCATCGCCAGCTCCATACCAGGAGGAGCGCGGAGACATGGGCAAGCATAGGCACTGCCCCCTGTGGTGAGCTGTTATCGGTTCCCTCCTGCGTGCGGACAACTGGTGCGCACCGGGACAAAAGGGATGGTCGAAGAAACGTTCGAAACCCAAGCACACGGGGTGCCCGTATGTGCCGCACTTGGCACACCCAGCGGGCTCGAAGGTCATCTGGTTGCAGATGTGGAAGCTTGCCTGCAATCCGCTGAAGATGCCCTCGTTGGGGCGCATCCTTGGCCTCATCACCCGCGTGGATGGGTTCGGGGAGGTCCGGCGAACAAGGACGATCGAATCACCCGGTCCCGCACTGGAAGACGCCATCCCCGATCACAGCCAATGTAGCGCGGTGGACTCCAAAAGATGACGATGATGACGAGCAGACTTCGTTTTTTCCGGTGTGCCTTCAAAACCACTCAGGCATGTCTCGAGAGTACGGAAGCCCGTGCGACCGTCTCCACTGCTGTGCTTTCTACTGCAGCATCTCGCCTCGGCTATCGAACGGTTACCCGCCCGATCGCCGGGAGCTGTTACGTAAAGGTTATACAACTGAGCCTGCGCCTGAATGTTTGCGTTATTACTTACTGCCGTGATTTGTGCAGCCCTCAAGGCCGAAGACAGCCGAATTAAAGCGCGCATACCTGGCAGAAGGACTGGGGTTGGCATCGGCAAGCCTGGTGCCCACCTCAAATCGAAGAGGTTCTACCTGTCCATAGCAGCAAGAGTGACACAACTCGGTTAGGACCGCCCGGAGCAGCAGACACGACTTGGTCAGGACCGCCCGGATGGCAGGTCCCACGGCCACTTACATTGTCAGAGAAGCACTGTAGATCGAGGAAGGGCAACTGGTAACATGTTGTTTTGCAACTTGGTTGCACGCTATTGTGTCTGAACGTATGAACTTTGACGCGCGATGGCGGATCACCTATGGAAAAATCGTGTCACATTGACGACTTATACACATGTGTGTGTGTCGATAGCGGAACACAGATGAAAAAGGACAGGGGTGGGTGCGGCTGTTTCTCCACACTCCGTAATCCGCACTATCTGCAAGCGCCGCCGTCCAGACCGCTATGCCTTCAGTGAGACCTGAGGCACAACGTTCACATCACACGTGTCTAAGGATGCAGCGCCAGAAAGAAATCCGAAGAGCCCTTCCAGGGACGAATCTGTCAACCAAAAAACGATACGTGACTGATGAATTTCCAAGCCTTTCAAGGAAGGCACTTGGTTCCTACAGTGAGTAAGACTGCGTGCAGCGACTAATTAGGACAGGACTTGGGACGGGAGGATGTCTGGCATCGCTGGTAACTCTTGGGTTTGCTCTGGTCCTCCTCCTCCTCCTCCTTTTCCTCCTCTTCCTCCTCCTGCTCATCATCATTCCCCTCCTCATTACCATCATCCCCCTCCCGCTCCCCGTACTCCTCGTCGTCCTCTCTCGCCTCCCGCTCCTCTTCTCGTCGTGCTGCGCCTGCCCCTCCTCCGCCTCAACATCGCCCACTTCCAACAATTATCCTGCTTGTCGTTGTCGTCATCATCGTCACCACCGTCGACGTCATCGACGCCGTCCCCGTCCGTCCGTCGTCGCCTCTGCCGTCGTTGAACTCGTCATCATGATCGGCATCGCCACAGTTCTCGTATCCGCGAAAGCACCCTCCGCGACGAAGAGGAGGCGGGAGTAAATGAACATGGGAGAGGGGGAAGGGGGGGAGAGGGAGGAGCGGGAGAGACGGGAGGCGGGGAGAGGAATGGGGAGGGCGGAAGGAGGAGGGAAGGAAGAGGCAAGCTAGGTGCGCACGCGCCAGATTTGACGCCCTACCCTCCCAACCGTCCCTTTCCATTGCGCTGTTTTTTGTTTATCTGCGGACGTCATAGCGGTCATGTTAGCGGACATGTGACTCAAAAAAAGACCCCGATCGTGTTATGCGTAATCGAAAAGCGACAGCTGCGCGCAAACGAGGAGGAGGTGGCGGATGAGGAGGATGGGCAAGAGGAACAGGAGGATGACTACACAGCCGGGAGAAAAGTTATCACAATATCAACAAGACCATCGTCTTGAATGATTTGCACACGGCAACGCCCAAAAAGGATCATTAAGTGACATTCGTCGCCTTTCAATGCTGGCAGCGTGCGCAGGCGTGCACCATGGGCCAAGTCATTGATATGCCATGCTTTGGCTTGCGCGCCCAGTGGCGACATTGGGAGGCGGACGCCACTTAATGCCCGGGTAATATTCCAAACTAATCCTTCACAGGGCCGCTGGCGTGGGCGGTTCCACGTTCTGCCGTGCGACTTCGTTCCCACAGTCGGATGGCTAACGTGCACCGCGCAATGCAGACGGGACGTCCTTCCTTAACATTGCCAGGCCGATGTCGCTTCGTGCGACGGACCCCGCCTGGTCTGATTCAACATCGTTTTGGCTTCCATCCTCGTGCCACTTTTATCATCATTTTTTCACGGGGATGTATTTTCTCCAAACAGTGAAAGCGCAGCAGCACGTGGCTCCTTAAGCGCGACTGGAGGCGGAAAGCCTCCCAGAACGTAATCGGCGACAGCCGACCTTCCGAGGCACTCGATGTACAAATCCTCTACGGAGAGATAGTCGGGTTCAGCGCGCTGTCGGCATTATTGCTATGATTCCGCGGGAGAGGACATGAGGAAGAAGAGAAGAAACCGACCGCCAGAAAGCACATTAAGTCGGGAGGCAAAGCTGACCGAGGATAAAGTCTGATGATCGAAGGCGAAGCCGCCGAAGCCACGCACGCTGGAGTCGAGGCACCATGCGCAGCTGCACCAGCGAAACCAACAGCATCGCTTGCAGCAGCACCTGTGCATCCAACAGCACGAGCGCGTCTACGATGTCGTCGGCAGCCACGAGCGCCTCCTGCGTGGACTACATACTGCTGACCACGGGCCAGACCTCCTATGAGGCGGGAATCTATGAGGCAGGAATACATGACATAACTATGTGTGCGTAGTGTTTTGATTACGCCAGGGCGTCCATCGGCCTCAGTTCTGCTCGGGTGGATTATGGATTTGTCTGGCTTCCCCATCGTGACCACCCCGCGTGCACCAGCCATCGAACTCTGGGGTGATATTTGTGGAAACGAACTCCGAGAACGCAGGAGGAAAAGGATGAGGAGGAAGGAGGAGGACGGGGACGAATAGCAGCATCAGCAACTGGAGAGGAAGGAGCGGAAGGAGCAGGAGAACCAGGGTAAGGCGGAGGAGGGGAAAGGAGGGGTGCGACAACGATGAGGAAGGACTCGGATGTAGAAAGGTGGCCCGCGCTGGGGCGAGAGCGCCATTCTGAACGACTGGAGCAAAGCCCCGATCCAAAAATGAGGCCCACATTGCAGCCGGAACACCATTTTGGAAGGGCCGAGAACGCTCGGATTGTAAAAAAGAAAACAACTCGGCAACCTCCAGTGTAAAAAAAACATACGCGGAGAGGGTCACGCTACTGGGGGAGAGAGGAGGGTAGTATTCATGTCCAGCTATGTGCGCTCGCGTCATAGCTGACGTCCTGCCCCTCCCTCCCACCCCGTACCATTGCGTGGAGCTCCTCTCTATTCGCAGTCAGGTACCGAAGAATAGATGATCCCGAAGGAGTATGCACCGCATAGCATAGAGTAGCCTGGCATAGCATGGCGTGGGAGAGCACGGCAGAACGCAACATGGCATGGCACGATGTGGCATTGCGTAGCCGAGCATGGCATAGCATGGCATTGCATGCCATGGCATGGCATCGCATGCCCATTGGCATTTTACATAGCCCTTTATTGCATGAAATGGCATGGTGCTGCACTATATAGCATGGCATAGCACGGTTTGGTATTGTGTAGCCAAGCATGCTGAATGACCCCAAAAAACGGAAAAGAGGTCAACGCTACAGCGGGAGCACCATTAAGAAGGACGAACAACTCACACATGAGACCAATGCTGCAGCGGGAGCAAAATTCTGAAGGACCGAGGACGCGGAAATGATACCAATGCTGCAGCGGGAGCACAAAATGTGAGAGAAGACCGACAAACCTCGCACTGGAAACAAACACACTAGAAAGAGCAGCGCGTGGGCAGCACGCGTGCGAAAAGCAGTGCGCGGAGGAGGGGTGCTCTGCTCTCGGCACGCCCTCGGGGGAGAGAGGAGACGAGTGGACAGACTGTGCTGCGACTGTTGGGTAGCTGTAATACAAGGGAGGAGGGGGGCGCGAGGGGCGAGGGAGGGGGGGGGAGCGAGGGAGGCGGAGGAAGGAGAGAGAGAGAGGACGGAGGAGGGCGGAAGAGGACGGAGGAAGCTGGAGGGAAAGCTTCGTGCGAGCGCTGACCATCAGGCAGCTGGTGGCCGGGCCACTGGGGGTCCGGCAGACCAGGGCCTGGGATCTCTTTCTGCGGCTGCAGTCGGCGCCACTGCACTGGAGACTGCGAAGGTTCGCCGAGGCTCTGAAGATCCCGGGAGGCCTTCGGGCCCCGGGGCGTTGTCCGTCAGCTGCGCCTCGCAGAGAGCCTTCCAGCAGGTCTGGAACCGTCCAGAGCGCCTGCCTGTGTCCCGAGCCAGGGCCCGGAAGCCATCTGGAGGGAGGCAGGCAGGCCACCCAGCCCACGCGTGTGCTCAGATGTCACGCAGAGGCCGTGCTGGAAGAATGCTTCGGGCACGGCATTTGCACGCAAGGATTGCTATGCCACGTTCCCACCCTGGCCATCTGGCTTGACACGCCCCTGAGCCAATCCTGCCTGCATCTCGGAGTGGCTCGCCTGTTCTGTGGAATGTACCCTGGCGCTTTTGCGCGAGACCCCTTCCGGGCTGGTAGTCTCACGAAGGGCCACAAACGGAGAGAACACCCACTCCCAGTTGCTAGCCCCCCGTCTGTGGATCTTCGACACCGACAAGGAGGATGCGGCTGGGCCTGGCGAGCAGGGACATACACGTAAGACAGGTGGCCGACGCTACCTGGCCTGCTGCATGTCACTGGCATCATCGTGACACCTAACTGGGCGGACGGGTGGAGGGGAAGGCTGGCGATGAGGGGCGCTACGCTGAACAAAAAAAAAATATAAAGCCGTCAGGAAATCACTGCCAAGACTCTCGACCACGTCGTCGTGCTTTGGCTTTCGGGCCGAGTCGATCCGTGGGGGCCCTTGGGCCTAAAGCGGAGCGAAAAAGGCATGTCGTCACCTTTCACGACGAAGCCGATTCCAGGGGACGACGACAGCGGCGGCGACGACACCGGCGGCGGTGGCGGTGACGGCGACGGCACTACGACGACGACCACGGCGGCGGCGGCGATGACCCTCTCACGAGTCCTCCAGGCACCGTCTCTTGGGCACGAGGCAGCTTGCCATTGGACTCTGGCAAGTTTACTTGAATAGAGGGGAGGGGAAGCAAGGAGGGGGAGGGGAAGGTAAGGAGGGGGCGGTACTCATGCAGAGGGCACAGAAGGCACGGAGGGGAAAGGAGGGGAAGGTAAGGAGGTAAGGAGGGAAAGGTAATGAGGTGAGGAGGGAGGCCCGAAAAAGAAATCTAGACTCCATGCGGGGCCGGGACTCCCTGGCACACCTCTTCGGCCCAGCGCTGCCTCTGAAGAGGCGGCAGAGGGCAGGCACGGCCCGTGCTGGCCAGGGGGGGGAGCTCCAGGAGAACCCTGAGGCGGCCGAAGGCCGTCAAGATCCTCCCCCGTCGCCCCGCTCGTCCGTGCCCCCGCCGCCGCCGCCGCCGACGACGACGACGACGGCGACGAGAGTCAATATGAAGATCTTTGCGACCTTTCGCTCCGGGAGCCTGCTGAAAGCCTCCTGGGGCCATCGCGGAACACCCGCGGGGCCACCTTGGAAGCACCCTGATTGTGGGCCGTCGGGGGGCTCACTTCGGGCCCTCTGCGGGGCGCTCTGTCGGGAGCGGCAAAGAGGGGGGTGTCCAAGAGGGGGGGGTGCAAATCATGACCGGCGGCATGTGCGCGGCCCAGCGGGGGGGGCAGGGACGTAATGAAATAAGAAGAGGCGCTATGAAATCTGGGGGAATATCATGGCCCACGCCATGATATCCACACCCCCCTAGTCATCACCCCCCTCTTTTCCGCCCCCGACTCTGGGGCCTCTCCGGGGGCCCTCCGGGGAGGCCTTGGAGGCCTGGCGTGCGGCGTGCGGCGTGCGGCAGCGGCGGAGCGGCGGGGGGGGCCGGCGGGCCTCCCCGCCGCAGCAGCGACGCCGCCGCACGGGGCGGCAGCGCCCACGGCGCCAGAGCCAGGGCGGCCAGGGCCTCCCTGCTCCCTCCTCGCCTCCTCCCTGCTTCCCTCCTGCCCTCCCTCCTGCTCCTCCTCCTCGCCGCCCCCCTCCCCCTCCTCGCCAGGGCCTCCTCGGACGCGCGGGCGGGGTCCTCGAGACCTCCCCCCCTGGGCCCCCGGCGCTCGCGACCCTCGGAGAGAGCGGCCCGGGGGCCCCCGAGCCGCCCGCTCGCCCCCCGCGGATGGGCCTCGTTGCGCTCGCCGGGCGGCGCGGCCACCCGGGCACACTTGGGGGGCCTCCGAGGCGGCGCGGGCCCTGTGACCGGCGTGGTGGAAAAAGCCTGATGGGAGGCTATTGGCCGTGTTCGGCCTCTGGGGGCCCGTGTCGGCTACACGCAAGAGCGACCCGGGGCAAGAGTGGCCTTTAATGCGCGGCGTTTTGGGAGCCGCGCGGGGGGCTTCAACAACAAGCGCGCAAGACGCCACTGCCGCCTCGCGTTCGGCGATCGGGGGACCCCCGTGGGCCCGCACCAAGGGTCGCTCTGGCGAAGGGTGACTCTTACGTCTAGTCGATATTACCGGGCCTCGGGACCATCAAAAAACGACTCTGGATGAAGCACCAGTTGCACCACCAAAGGGTCAACTCTTACAATGATGCTGGGTGCCTTGAAGACCTCTCCCACCGAGGCAGGCCGCGAGCCACTCGGGGGAAGTGGGCCCCGGCCACGCGGCATCCTGAGTGTTGCTGCAGGGCCCTTCGGCCAGAGCGTCAACTCATGGCTTTAACCTTGATGAGACCAACTGTTTCGGCCACGACTTTCAGCAGCAGGCGTCCGAGTGCTTGCCAAGAGGCGTGAAGGCGCCCCGTGATGGCTCAGGCAGCTTCCGCGCCGCTGGCGATGCGACGCGATGCGATGAAGCACCAGTCCCAGGAAAATGGGTCCGGACCAGTATTCGGGGTCCACGCCATAATATATATATATATATATATAATATATATATAATTATATATATAATATATATATATATATATATAAAAAAAAAAAAAAAAAAAAAAAAAAAAAAAAAAA